CAATCATTGTCGTCAACTAACAGAATTCCAATCTTATCAGGAATTCATTTCCAATTCGCATTGTAACACGGTCTTTCAACATCCATATTCTCCACATATTGTTATTTAAGGAGACTGACATAACCCTTTAGCAGTATCAGTCTCATGGCCAAATGCCCATATTATAAAATTTTGCTCTTAACACGGAAAAGTAATTTTTCAATCAAGTAACACCACAAACATCCTGCATTCGTTCCTCTTGTTAGGTTATGTAGTCACATTTATCACATTGCAGGACTTAGCACACCAGTAAAAATTTTCCAAATTCCTTGCCTCCTGATTCGCTTAAAATAGTCACACAGATCACAGTTGAGGATGGGTATAAGACACCAATCTATTACAGAAATTGGGGACGGAAGCGTAATTGTTGACTTATGCGAGTACACAATGTAGATGTATAAATCATATAACTTCCATATATTTGCAAAATTTTCAAAAATATAGAACAAGGAGTGTATACACACACACACACACAAACATATCGATAAGAACATAGTATTCTAGTAATATATACAGACATAGTATATCTGTGAGTGATCATAAGGACATTTCCGAAATGGAATGTCTAATATTTCGTGATAAGTGTTTATTGTGAGCCCTAGTTCAGTAGCGTCGAGTGAATTCATAACTCTGTGTGTGTGTGTGTACTTACATGGATAGATAGGTAGATACGCAGAAAAGGTGAAAAAAGAAGCTTACACGACTGCTCCGACGACCATGGGTAACGAAAGAAACCTTCTTCGATTGAACATCTTTGAAGGCCTTCAAGAGAGTAATAAGAGTGTCGGCGATTGCCGCTGCGATTTCGACTGTCTAAGTCCGCCCAGCCCAGGTTTCAGATTAATTTACGAAAAGAATAGAACAAAAAAACAGGGAGAATTACGTCCCGACCGTTTTGTCACTTAATACCCCCATAACATTTAAAATATTACATTCAAACACCTTAAAATTTGTACACATAACATTTAAATCCCTATTGTCAATGTCCATTATTAAATTTGTTAATAAATTATATTCCTCAAGTTTAAAATATTATACTTAAACCACTTATTAGTTATAGAACTAACAAAATCTATTAAACAATCAAATTATCTCAGTTAAAGATATAAGATATTATATCTACTAGCAATGCACGATGTGCGTTGTACGTGAATATATTTAAATAATAATTTTTATAACAAATTTAACTAATATTTATAATTTATTTGAATCATAAATTGTATGTCAAGTAATTAGATTATATATTAATTATTAAACATAATTATTGATCTATTATATCCGTCTTTGAATACTTAATTTATCATTTTTTTAAGTATCTTTCCAGCTTCTTTAAACATTTTTTTTTGTTTATTGTATAATTTCATTGTAGGATTGTCATTTTTCAATATTTATAAACTATTGTTTATATTATAATATTATGATATTATTGCATACAAAAAAAAAATCAAATGCGATATATGTTTGATAGTAAAATTCAAGCTGTCAACATGTATATAATATTAGAATATAGATTGGACTTTAATTTTTTACATAAATAGATATAAATATAGATATAAAATTGTATGAATGTGTATTACTAATAAATAAGTCTATAAACATTTAGAAGTGAAATGCTACTAATAAAAGAGTTATTGTAAAATTATTATTTTTGAATATTTGCACATCTAAATATATTATTCTATTTTTTTGTCAAATAAATTGATTAAATTGTAAAGTATTGTTTGTATTATAGTATTGTGATATTGTTACATACAAAAAAAAATCAAATATGACTGTAAAACTTGGCCAACAACATGTATATAATAATATAATATAATAGTATAATAATAGACTAATTATAATTTTTTAAAGAAAAAATCTAATTTTTTATTTTTGATTGAAATATTTTTTGCCTAATTATCATATTTTAAACTAAATAACCTAAATATTATATGCTTACAAATTTAAGAGGTTTGAGTGTAGTTTACTAAAAGATAAACTAACACGACAGAAGTCTAAGTATTACACGTGTACAAATTTTAGGGAGTTTATATAATATCTTAAATATCAAAGAGCTTAAATCATTAAATAACAAAGCGTCCGGATGTAATTCTCCCAAAAAAAAACAATGAAAAGGTTTCGGAGTTCCTACTGTTTGTTTCGGCTAACGTAGAACTTAATAGGATTTGGGTTTGGGCTCATCAATTAGTTACGTATATTGCCCTGAAAAATGAGCACCTATTTGGGCCTAGGAAGGCCTTTCTGCAGCGCACAAAGCCCACAACTGAGTTGGGTCGTGGGTGTTGGCAGAACACGTATTTGAGCCTAGCAAGGGACAGGAGTTAGCACTCAGTCCACTTGATTCGGGGCAGCTCCTTAACTACCCATTTTGATTTGCAAGAGGTGGTAGATACCTAGGGATAGAGAAAGAGGTTGGATGAAGCAATATGCAATATCAAGATCCGTAGACATCAATACATCGCAAGAAGCCCATAACTAAGTTCGGTCATGGGTGTTGGCCTTCTGGAGTACTATTTTATTTTATTTTTTAAAAAAATTTTGGTAGAAAAAATAGAGAATTTAATCAATTTGTGTGTTGTATTATGTTTGTGTTTGTATCACATTCGTATTATACTATTATTTTTATTTTTCTGCATTAAATTCTGATCTGCAACAATCCCATTAGAAAAGTATCAAGAAACCATCACCTTCTTATGAGGTGAAAAAGCCTTGTTTTGCTTTGATGCCGGAATGCCAGCAAATTGAACCTTACATATCAGAAGATTATGTGGTGCACACAGACACCACGGATCGTTGTAGCGCGTTATAAATAAGAGTGAATGTTACGTTATCAATGTCAGCTGATATCATCATAAAAATTTGTCTACAAATAGAACAAAACTACCTCGAAATCAACAAAGTAATTCCAACATATAATACTAAGCAATTAAATAACACAACCGTCAACCACCCTGGTCAACATCATCCTGCCCTGTGACTTCTGGAATTTGTTTCTTAACTTCCCCAACTGAATGGGAAAAGGTAGTTGTTTACCATTAAATTCTTTAAAGCATAACCAGTGGATGCAAAATGCTGATGCTGTATATATGGACATGGAACTTTTGCTATCACTCTTTTTTTTTTTTTCTCGTTTAATTCTGTTGCTAATTAGTAATTACCATCTATATATCAATCCTAAATAAATGGATAAGTAGGGAGTTCTAGAAGAAATACGCAAAGTCTTATGCTTAATTTCGTGTTTGAAAATTCTCCTTAAATTTGCATTAAATGCCATTTGACTGAGATTTTATGAATATTGATAGTGTTGACGGGGAAATTTACCCAGCAGTTCCTCTAAAGAATGGTTAGTAGGACAAAATGAAGATCAGAATTTAATAAAGAGCATGAATAAGTGTACCTTAACAATGGAGATGTACCCTTTTTTATATTCCGCATTCATGTCTAATTTGAGGACGTCATTAGGAAACTAATTTCTTTCATGAATTAGTTATGAAACAGAGTTTTCTTTTAATGTAATAATTGTAATTGATTACATCTCAAATTAAGTATAAATAATGATGATGTATGTAACACGATTGAGCAGAGATAAGAAATTAATGGGCACTGAGTAACTCAGTCTGAACTCCTAGACTTTTAAGATTTGGACAAGGGTAAATGAATTAACACATAGAGAATTTATAGTGGTTCATCAGCTTAGAAACTCTATTAATCCACTCTTCAGGGAGTGTCTTACTCTTGAGATTTATATTGATCAAAAAAGGAATTATAGAATATTGGTTCACATTACAGTGACTTGTTCTTCATTTGAGGGAGTCATGCCTCCTATTTATAGTTGGCTCAAGGCCTCACCTAATCCATCGCGTGATTTCTGCCTATCTATTCTAACGGTTGCACAAGGACAGTGGTGGGTGCTGAAGCAATTGCGACTCTTTTGCCTAGATATTCAACTGTTACGATTTGTATGGCGCTTGAGTGAAAGTCAGTTGTCATTTGTGCCGTATTAGTAGAGGTGCAGTTGCTGAAGAAAAGATGTCGACCTGGAGCTTCATAGTAATCAAGGGCAAGCTATGTGTCTTTAGTCGGAAAAGTATGAGCCTACCTTCCGAGCTCAACCTTAAACATATTTTGGATATCAACAAATAATATTTCTCTTTTTATATTATAACATACAATTGTCTAGCAGCTTTCCCTTCGAGTGGTTGGGATGATCGGTCACACGGTGAATGCAATCGATTGAAAGCCATAATTATTATAACGGTGAGTTGGAGATACTCTAATTAGAATTATTATAATTTTTCAAAATTCAACTAAGGGAAACTCTTCTAAATTAATGTTTCATTGGGATAATTTGTCAACTTGGGTTTGCCCCGAGCATTAATTTTCATTGACTGCACAGTAGTTTCCCTGAGAGGTTTTGCTTGGATACCAACGAAATAAAAAGAAGAGTTATTGACTAGACTTACAGATTGCAGAAGATTCCATTCATTATTCTCTTTTCCATTTATGTTAGAATAAAGTTGGTCAAGACGACGGATTGGAGGACTTTGGCATCAGTTCTTCGCATGGTAAGAATTAATTTTACTCCTTAGTTTTTGGTTAAAGGAATTAATTTTTTTTTAAATTATTTAGATCTAATTTGTTGATATAATTTATTAACCTAATGCATCGATTGATAGTCATGAACCTCAAAAATTATTAAAACTTGCTGTTAATTTAATGATTGTGATGCACTATGTTGGCAAATTAAGTTCAAATAACAAAACAAATCAAAAAGTAATCCTCTACAAAGTATCAACAGAACGTCCCGGCAATGCTCCTCCATCCCAACACTGCAAGCCTTTTTTTGGGGGAGAAAGGAAAGATAATTTAAACCCTTAATCTTAAGAGGACAAATCATTCATAAGACAAAGAGATCTTTGAATCAAAGATCCGGTGGTACCACCAACGCATACTTTTTTTTTGGGAGAGGAATGAAAGATAAGAAAACTTGAACCTTAATCTCAAAGAAGACCTTTGGACCAAAGACCTTTTGTTACCAACAAAGCATGCCGACGTTCGTATGATACGACAAAGTAATATCATCCATTTAACCAAGAGAACAAGTGTAAGATTATCATCCAGTAAACTGCCCCTCCTTAGAAACTAAATGGCAAAATGAACATATCTTAATTATACGATTTATAATTAAGAAGCTAATGAACACAAATTTCTATGGATTCTTCTTCTGGGTATAGATATAATCAATATGAGCTGCCAAGGTCCTTCTCATCAAACACTCTTCATCACCAACTCCTTCGCAGTTCTCATCCACCACCTCAACATGTTGAGCTCCAACAGTACCCTGGAAGAAAACGAAAACAGAACTCCAATTAAATAAAAAACCTAAAAGAATCATACAGCTAAATTCTCATACAAACCTTGTCTACTTACTGGGATAAAAATTTCGTTTCGTTTATACCGAAGCTACAGAAACGTTTTGCTTTTATCTTTGGTGGAGTTTTGGTTTGTTTCAGTGTTTTGGAACGTTTCTAAAACTTTCTCAAAACATTTATGTTTCTCTGACCTAACTAAAACTATGCACCAAAAACAAAAAAAAATTGATCATTGAACATACCTCCTCCTGTTGGGTTTTGACCAAGTTTGTATCAGGAAATGCCGGCTCAGGACGGGCGGCGGCTGATGACATAGTTACGCAGAGGAGGGCTACGATCAACAGGGCGGTGACTTTAGACATTTTTTTTTATCTTTTGGTTGCTGCTTAAAGATATAGAGATAGAGGGAAGAGCCTGTGATGACAGGAATTTATATAGAGGAGGAAAGAGAAGGCCAACCCCAAATGAGTGTGTGAACTTGGAAGAGAAAAAGGGGGACTTTAATGCAGCAGATAGAACATTAGACTGGTACCACACATGTCTAATTTGTAGACAAAAATAAATAGTTCAATAAAAAAAAAAGTGAACAAAAAGGGAAAAAGGAGAAGAAGCAATCAAAGACGACCACAGGAATTGAATGGGAAAAAAACAAACTGCATAGGGTTGGAATTTACTCGTAGATACCGCCGGAGATTAAATTTTTTGGTCAGCATAGAGTGACTTAGCCGACTTGGTGTTAGCAAAAAGGAGAGTAATGACAAACGAATTTTGTTATGAAAGAAATAATAAGTTATAGTTAAGATCATAATTCTTAGGCACTTGTAACTAAGTTTTATGCGATCGTAATTCAATGCACATTCGATCGTAATTCGATGTCTCATAAAAGTACATGTACGTTAAATTATATGTCCTAATTAAGTTTACGTTATCATATCTTGTTCTATATTGAATCGTAACCGTTGCACATTACATTGTAATAAATGAAATGTCTGTCAATGCAAAAGTATGTATAGTAAATTTCCTGCTTTCCTATTATCGAAATTTTCTTTTGGAGTGACGTCTCTACTTGATCCATCATGTTTTAAGTGTTTATTCCTTCATTTCCAATGCAGCCTTGTAAGCCAAGGCATCATGATATCTTCGAAATTGGTAGACTTGGGCTCACCCACCAAGGGCTGCATGATCTCAAAATCAATTGTGCCCCATATCAAATTTTGAGCCTAACGATCGATTGCAGCCCTGGTAAACCTAAATCCATATCTCCAGAAAATTTGAACTATAGAAAAATTCTAATACGTAATCCACTTGTGGAGTTTTTTTCTTAAAAAGTACCACGTTTTTTTAAACTTAATTATTTTATTACAATATTTGCAAACTTATTTTCCAATCTGATGTAATTTTTTACAAAAAGCATGATGCAATTTCACGTTTTTCAACAAAATATGCTTTTAGTAGAAAAATGAGGAAGTTTACTTTGAAAATACGCTTTTGTAGTAAAAATAATCTGTGTAAAGCACGCTTTTGTGAAAATTACGAAAGTTTGGAAATAAGTTTTAAAGCAACGGTAATGGGGGAATGAAGTTTGAGAATTACACAATGGTTGGTACTTAAGGAAATTGATTTTATGTGTTGAATATTAATGTTTACATGCATGGCTAGTTTATTGAAGGGAAGGTAGTTGTTGGGAAATTAAGTTCATGACAAAGAAGTAAGAAGATACTTTTCTCATTGTGGAACAGTTTCGAGAGAAGTAAGAAGTCTGTGGAATTATGTTGGTGTGTTCCTTCACAGAGCATGACCAAACAAAGTAATTAAATCTGCACATGAGCCAAAAAGCCTACACACCAATTCAATATTGCTTCTCGCCCTTTCACTTGAAATGTTTAAAAAATATAATTTAGTTAAATATATTTGGTTGATAATTTTATATGTAATGTAAATTAGACACAAGTTACAATAGATATGGAGATAGGTCATTTTACATATTCGTCCGGGAGTATTGTCCTTCAGCACTATATCGCTATGTGTAGGAGACCCTATTACACCTGCGTCGGGACCAAAACGAAGATCCAATCGCGCACTCTGAATGCTAAAGAGTAAATATACTCCTTTTTTCCCCCAGTTGAACCACAAAAATTTTGACGAGTCCTTAGGTCAAGTTATGAGGTATTTATCTCTTATAAATACCTTAATTTTGATATGGACGGTTGATCTTTGATTGAATCGAAAAAATAATTAATTGTGATATGCATAAGCTGACCTAGACACCGTAACCATGGAAACCAAAAAAAAAATTGTGACAAGGACCACAAGACTCCAGTAGTATGTATCTCCATACGCACAGGCCAGGGACTTCAGAATTGCATATATATGGTTCTCTATGTCTAGGATAAGGCTACGGTATGGTCATGAAATTCATCTCTAATTTGTTGTTCGTTTGGTAACGTCTACGATTTTTGATTTCTAAAAAACGAAAAATAGAATTAAAAAACGAAAAAATGTCTTTTTCTCGTTTTTAAAAATTGTCCCTCGTTTACAAAACAATGACAGAAAAAAAAATAAAAACGGTTGTCAAACAAGTTTTTTTTTCTTATTTTCTCTAAATATTAAAAAAAAACGAAAAACATAAACATTATCAAACGAGACCTTGATTATTATTGATTGAAAAACTGGTAAAGTAATAAATGATAATAAAATAACATATTTTATATATGTCAGAATTTTATTGAATGAAAAATAAGAAACGATTACTTAAAAGTGACACTTGGATACCGGATCAGACCCTTTATTTCTCTCACTATTGATTATCAGTTCCACAAGTCAAAACAATTTAATGGCTACATTCTAGAATGACCAAGAAAGCTTGAACCTTATTCCCCTTGTCGTTCTTGTTCTGGACTATGATCATTAAGTCGCCATGACTTGTTGATCCCAGCATAATCCTTTAAGGTCGAAAGCCGTTTCAACTGGCTAAATGAGTGGCAAAATAAACGTTCAATTTGATGACTTGGATACATTCTCTTTGACCGGTAAATATTAGAGATAACGGTGACACCATATTATCATTATTTCATGATATCACCATTCAATAACAAAATTTTATTTATGAATTTCACTTACTAAAATAAGGTGGTCAACTTGCTTACATGTTAATTTATTATTAAATGATGACACTCTATAATAATAATAATAACGTGGTATCGTCGTTACCTTCAATATTTTCGCCTCTTTGACATTTGCACTTGCCCTCTTTAATACGGTAGTGATAGCTTAATTATTGTTAGAGCTTAGAATTTTGAAATTTAAAGTCAATATGTAGAAACAAATGGCAGGTTAATGATGACAAATTGAAAATTTTTGCATTCAATAGGTGCAGTAGTCTTTAAACTTCACAGACCATGTATGAATGTTTATGGCTTCAATAAAAATTCATTCTATCCATGTCATTGACATTGTCACAAGCCAAGCTCTGGCTTTGTGCTGTATCCACTTTCAATTATAACAATTGTAATCAACATAGAGGAATCATGAGAAAACTCTAGAATACAAGTGAATAATGTCTGGCTGTCTGTTGTGATTTGTGTGTGTGATTAACAATCAATAAAACAGAATAATAGAAAAAGAATATAAGAATTTATGTGATTCGACAATTTGTCTTTGTTCACCATCCTAGAGTGGCTACTTTGTTTTTATTCCATACTGAATTAATATTATAATTTAACTTATATATATATATATATATATATATTATAACCTTAATTAGGGCATCCTTCATACATGTGCAAATTAGCTCACACTCCGACAACTGGTCTGTTATCCACTTGGGCCTGAAGTAACTCGTCATACTTTGAATATGAGTTATCTATTCTAACATTATTCGAACAACAATTATTTATAATAGTAAATTTTAGTTGAAGTTGAAAATTAAAAATATAACAAAAAAGTGACAAAAATGATAACGCATATGTCATCTCATTTGAACAAGATCCAATCTAATTTGAGCAGTAAGGTTCATTTGAACGTTAATGAAAGGAAGTTTGAACGAGACTCGCATAAGTTATTTCAGCATCCCAAAAGGCCATTCTCATTCAAACGAAATCCTAAGGGCCGTTTGGTACGTGGGACAAGGTCAGATTTGGAAGATGGGTTGAAAATAAAACTCTATAAAACTCATCAAACTCATATTTGACAACTATAATTTTAGTCTAGGTTATCAAACCAAGCCCGCTTTAGATCCACAATTTAAACCCATGTTCATGGGTTTCATGAAACCCGATTGGGGGAGGGGGGTGGGTTTCATATGGGGCTTAAAAGATTGAACATACAAAATGACATTTATATTCTCATATAACCCATATATCCCAAATAATTAAATAATTAAATAATCAAATATTAAAATCATCTGGATACAAGAAAATGTATGTATACAAACATGAATTTGGATTAGATTAGTTAAGGGGCACTATATTCATTTATATACAAATATATTATCATAATAGTGATGTATCTGCGCGCATACTAAACATTGGTATGAACAAAATTAAATATTGAATCTCATCTTTATAAAGGGGGGTTTAAGTTTTGAAAATTTTGGACAAGTCAATTCAAATCCCTCCGAAAAAATTAACCAAACAGCCCTAAGAGTCAATCTTACCCCTTCCGGTCTTCTTGCTTTATTAAATCTGTTCCAACTCGTTCAACGTGGCATACAGAATGATGCGTGCAAGTTGGTGATTAAGAAAACTATTCAAGATCACAATAAATCGTTAATAATCATAATTAAATGCTCATTGTATCCTAGTAAGTACTCTCCTGTTCCTAAATATCTGTCGTTTAAAATTTTTACACAAGAATTAAAAAAACTATTAAATAGCTCTAATATGAGTAAAAAATAATTACACAAGACTAAAATACCCTTATTCAATATGTATTGGGAAGAAAAAGAATACGTAAGAGACACTTAACCTCCACCAAATCTAATACATTGAAAAATTAAAGGTAAATTTGGAAGAAAAAATATTAATTATGCTTTGATCTCATTAAACTACAGATATTATTGAACAAAAATAATTATATAAAATTACAGATATTTAAGAACGGGGGATTACCTAACAAGTTCCATCTAAATCTCAATTCATGTCGGCATGCATATGTTCACAGTATTTCATATATTGTTAGTCAAATATGTACAGTTTAAAATAATCACAAATATTAGTCAAAACATCTAAGGTTTTGAAATCATACGACACAATATATGTAAAATAAGTTGATTTACATTACTAAATAATGACCTAGAAATATTGTATTTGCGAAATCGATCAATCAAAGGAGACAATGCGCAAGTTTGTAACATGATTCGACTTGGGCACCGTAGTCAACAATTATCATTAGCTAAGATACAATTATTTGGGATTTGGTAACAACGAAAAAAATAAAGATCAATTTAAAGAAGATAACTTTTTTGGGTCATGTGATAATTTTTATAATTTTTCTCGGTGTTTAAGATTGATC